AAGGACCTCTTTAACAATGCCGGAGACTGTCCTGCCAGAGATGGACAGCTCTCAAGCCAGTTCAATCAAGCTTCGCCGAGGATTGCGACGAAGGCGTTGGCGAACGATTTTCAGAATCTTGTTACTGTTCGCAGTAGCCAATTTAGCACTCAAACAGCAGTCCTGGGTGCTTTTCATATCCTGGAAACGACGCAGAGTGAAAAAGACCCGGATCTGTGTAATTTGGGGAGCCCGCGCAATTTGCGGTCGGCCATCCTCTCCTCGTGCATCTTCTCCACCAACGCTCGCTCCGTTCCATAAGGCACATCTCTAATAGGAAAAAAGCTGATAGTCCAGATTTTTGAGGGCTTGTACTCAAAGGTTCAATAAGCAAACACATAAAATTAGCGTACAAAAATTTGTGGAAAAGCCGAACATACAGGGACATCAAAAATTGTTCAAAGACTTTCCCCCAACCCTGTATTTACTAAGTTCACATACTCCTTTCTCTTTTTTCCACTACAAAAAAGGATGTGGTTTTCTGCTGGAAACACTCAGCAGAAACTCTTCCATCAAACACTCTTTTTCTTGAACCTTTGCCTACATTATGCGCTGAAATACACACTCTAGAAAACACCACCACAGGATGCAAGGGATTCCTACCATGTACTTACCGTGACCGAGCCAATTACAGCAGTTCAATAAATGAAAAGATTCGTCTCGGCGAGCTGAATCCAAATCTGGTTTCAAATTTAAAATCCATTCAGAATGAAGGGAGTTATGACGAAAAGACGCAAAGTCGGCGACATCGGCGACATCGGCGAATTCGGCGACATCGGCGAATTTGGCGAATTCGGCGAATTCGGCGAATTCGCCGAAATTTTTCACATTCCACTGTCACAACTGTAAACGCTATCAAGGCTTTTCCACAAGTTCAAAATGAAGATTTTGAAAATCGCCAAAGTTGGATATGGTAAAAACCACGGGTTTGAAATTTCGGCAATTATCTCAGAAATCACCAGAGCAAACGCTTCCAGAACATGACATCTGCAAGGAGGAAGAAAAACTGCGTCTGACAGTGCTTAGAGCATTTGCCTGCCTTTATTCTAAGTATTTTTATGACAGGTTGAAAAAACGGGAAGAACTTTTGGACCGACCTAACATAATAATTTGGAATCCTCTCCAAAATTCTATTGTAAATCATACAGTAATGAAGATTGGTGATTCATCTATACTATGAATCTAAGCTGGAACCAGCTCTACAGAAAGGCTTCTGCAGATTTGCTAAAGACACCGAAGCAAGATATTAGGTTGTCAAGAAAATAATGTCGTTTTTTATTTGCTTGCTTTAACAAAGCAAACAGACTCAACCCAACAAAGGGTAATGGGTATTGTTCGATAGAGCAAAGCAAGCTCTACAAGATGGCGTTCATAGTCTTGCGCCAAGCTCGATCCACGGAATGTTCGAACTCAAAATCTGAAGATATCCAAATGCCCAAAAAATCGAAAAAAATCAGATCTTCGTCCAAATAATTTCTACGGACCTCCCACTCGCACACTTCAATACTTTCGATATATGATATCCATATGTGCAGTTGCTGTGTTTTTTCCTTGACTAGAAACTGAGAAAACGAAAATTTCCCTGATTTTCTCAAAGCAATGCTGAGCCGTTTTTGCATATGTAGTTCTATACTACAAGCCCAGGTAAGTATAACTATAAATTTTCAGCCTATTTCGAGCGGTAGTTTTCGAGAAATGTTGCTTTTAGCACTGAAACTGAAAAGAAGAAAGCTGATTTCGATATTTCTCGAAAACTACTGCTCGGAATGTTCCGAAAATCTGCACTTATACTTACCTAGGCTTGTAGTATAGAATCACATATGCAAGAACGGCTCAGCATTGCTTTTAGATAAACATGAAAAATTTTGTTTTCTCAGTTTGTAGTCAAGGAAAAAGTACAGCAACTGCACATATGTATATCATATATCGAAAGTATTGACGTGTGCGAGTGGGAGGTCAGTAGAAATTATTTGGACGAAGATTTGATTTTTTTCGATTTTTTGGGAATTTGGATATCTTCAGATTTTGAGTTCGAACATTCCGTGGATCGAGCTTGGCGCAAGATTATGAACGCCATCTTGTAGAGCTTGCTTTGCTCTATCGAACAATACCCATTACCCTTTGTTGGGTTGAGTCTGGTTGCTCTGTTAAAGCAAGCAAATAAAAAACGACATTATTTTCTTGACAACCTAATGCTTACTTACCAACGATGAAACAGTGCGTTCGTTCAGTCAACAGCCTCGTCTCATCCTTGGCAATAATGAGTTGCTCATGAAACGGGAAAGTTATATTAGGTGATTTCGCTTCCGTCAAACAAGCGCCACGTCAAACAAACAAAGTCTCTCGAAAGGATCTTCTTCAATTGTCGATGCAGCTTCTTATCTTTTTTTAAATGAATATGTTTTCTCTGCAAAATCAATAAACTCATAAAAGATCACTGCAACTCTATGGTTTTTGCTAAGATCACTTCAGCAATTTTTCCAAATTTTCGTAATGGTCCCTTGAAGGCACTTAAGGTGTCATTGGATTGAAAAACCCATTGGGACAAAGTTTTCAACACAGATTCTTTTCATTATCTCTCAGCAATTTTGCGAAAATCTATTTCAAAAGTACTGCCATTTACAATATGTCAAAGTACAACTGCTTACATGACCATTGAAAAAAATAAAACGCCACATCGAATAAATCTGATCTTGAGATGCGAATTTTTATTTCGACTATTCCTTCCATATTGCAGTAACTCAGTAAATGAGAATCGGTCTCTTACAGGGGATGTCAAGTAACTTAGAATTGCGTTTCGAGATGACACACATAACTTGAAATCAGCTTCAGACGCTGATTTTAAATTTGCTGTTCCTAGCTGCGGCGCTTTATTCTAAAGGAGATCATGAGCTTTTTTCTGTGAAAAATTTGCACACTCTTTGACCTACTGGCATTAGGTATTATCACTTATGTGCTAATTGACCACATAAAGTCTCTTGTTAATTACAAAAGACTCAATCTGACATATTTTTAGTATCCCAGCATCGTTCTTAGGCAGATTTCCATGTACAGGCAGCCTTACCATATGGGAAAGTATGGCAATTTTGCACAGAAAAAAGCTAATAACATCCTTTAAGATAAAGCGCCGCAGCTAAGAACAGCATATTTGGAATCAGCGCTTCAGCTGATTCCTATATGTGTCTCATCCCGAAACGCGATTCTACTTGACATCCCTTGTTAGCTGCGCTACGCTGTGGCACTTGTGTAAAGGCCAGTCACAAAAGAAGGCGTCATGCTAGCGCGCGTGCGCAGCGCGTAAAAGCTCTAGTGACCCATTTTTGAGAATGGGTCATGACATGTTTGAAAGTTACGACATGGGTTGTAAAAATGTGCAAATGACTTCGCAAATAATCAAAATAATTGTAGGAAATTTTGAAAATTCAAATTAGCCCTGTACAAGGAATTTTTGGCTTGGCTAGCGCGGTTACAGGTTCGGAAAAATTTTCGGGGGCATTCCAAAGATATTTTTGAGGTGCGTGGCTAACACCACATACCTTTAGAAGAAATTTTTTGTCGCCCTCCTCCCATCTCCCTCCCCAACGGAAATCCTCGGCAAGCCAGTGTTCCAGCCCTAGCACTACTCTGGGAGATAATTTATGCTCCTTTGTGGCGTGACTTATGAGTATTTAGCTTTTCACATCTCTCACACTTTTTCCGGAAATTCCCTTTTTGAAGACTTCAACTCTGGAAAAACTTCAGAAGCATTAATGGTTTTCTTGGCAATGCAAACGAAATTAAACCCTTCAATGCAGCTTTTCAATGAAAGTCGCTGGATGCAAAATGTAGTATGGAGCAGATGTACTCGTACCATTCGTAAACAAATGTTGACCAAGAAAAGGAAATCGAATTTCGCTTATAATTAAGTCATGGCGACCTTGATATAGCGAAACATCTTCAGCTTTTTGCAAGAATGACAAGTTTAGGGGATGCTTTGACCTGATAACATAAACATCACGCTAATTGAAGTTTAGAATCGTCGAGGAATTGAGCATTTCATGCTCATTTCGATTACTAATTTGAATGGACTGTGCTGACTAAAGCAGTTTGCATTGTGACCAGACAAAATAACCATAACGTTCTATCAAAAGCCTCCAACCATCTAAATTTCTACATAAAGCGTGCAATAAAACTTACAGCATTCTGACAATGCAGGAATTCAAACTAATCCTTGCATTTCTTACCGTTGTGTGTACCCGTAAGTCTCTAAAACAATGTATAGATTTTTTTGAGCTTTCGTATTTTCAAACGCTAGTACTACTTCTTATTTTGTGGATTCAGAAGCTATACTAACGAAGCGCGATATTTGGATGGTTGACAAGGGATATAACAGGCATCGCGAACAATGGAGTAAGTTTCTTGATTTTCTAAAAACTTCAAAGCTTGAAGAATTTGAGCATTTTTTACAGCATTTCATTCAGTCCATCATAGTGTTGCACCAAACAATAAAGCAGCAACATTATCGTTGAAAAAAAGTCAGTGGATAACACTAGAAGAAAAAGCATGAATATAAGCTATTAAGAAGAAGAACTGCACAGCACAGAATTGTGTCACTCGAAGTAGATACCAGAACTTCTTCAACAATTTTTCGAAGTTATAGACGCATTAAGTCATTAACCCAGAGTTACACAGAAGCAGATTTTGATGGAGATCCCCTAGGCACTCGAGCCAGCCAGTAATGTACTTACTACATAGTAAAAACAGATATTCTGTGATCTTCAGTGTATGATGCGAGTCAAAATCGAAGGCTACAGTTTTGATGTTGTCACTAGTGCGAGAAAAAACTCTTGCAAATGCGTGTCCAGGTACTTTTTTTGCGTTTTTTTATGAAAGGAAACATTATATTTGAGAATCATAGAGCTATACCAGGCTGCACGCAAAGATTATACCACTTTGCATATTAAAGAACTCTTCAAATAATAAAATTTTGACTCAACTGCGATGAAGAAAAGCGATGCCCTCACAAGGGATTTTTCTGGTGACCTTGGTCCGTAAGAAAATTCTTGAATCAAAATTAGCACATCCTCTGTTATTTGCTGAGCCATTGCCTAAATAAAGTCATGGGCTTCTTTACGTAAGATTTTTGCGTAAAATGTAATCAGATTCATTGATTTACGATTTCTTTTCGAAGCTAAATTTAAGTGAGACAGGTTATCCAAACTGAGTATAGTCCGCTACCTCTTACCATTTGGGGAGTTTAAAAGATTTGAAAGTTTGATTGATTATGGCCTCATAGCTTTCCACCTAAAATAGTAGTTGCCACTATTCTAAGCATCACAATTATAGACAAGTACGACTGTAGAAGAGTTTCTTTCTACAAAAAGTGCAGTGGATTGCAAGGAGGAATTTTCCAGGGATACAACGAAAGTTTCCAGCTTTTTAGTCTGTATCTCATGATTTATGTTCTTGAAAAGAGATCCACTTCAGTGTTTCCAACCAGAAGAACACAATCTTCACAATTTTCGTCGAAAGGATGGATGGCACAAACTTCTCCGTTGCAAATCTACTTCAACCGGAGACTATGTTTGATATTTGTAGTCAAAAGTTTGCTTCAAAAATATTGATTTTGTCTTAGGTTGTTTTGGCTGGAAACAAGTATGGCAATCCTATAGCTCTCGGTACAGGATCAGTCAGTCAGGTAAATTTGATTATTATTGCTAATTTGCTCTGTTTTACAAAAAGGGTTTTTCCAGGTAATTCGATGTAATAACAGAGGAAAGTGGGTTGCACGCGTGGGCCATGGAAAGTGGATTAGAGTAAAGGACGCCTTCTGCTATCTCGTTCCCAAGCGCTTCGAATGAAATTTGAAAACATCGATGCAATCAATCGAATGAAATGTTTTTCTCTATCAAAAAAATGAAGTACATTCGAAACATCATGATGATTTGTTCATCATAAAGTACATATCAAGGCTCGACGAAAATGCCAAAAATGAAAGCCCCTGACTTTCGCGAAGTTTTACGAAGTCTCCTTTGATCCTCAACCCTAAACGTAAAAAACTCTTTAAAAATGAAACGTCAACTAAAAAAAACACACCCTAGTACTGTTTTTTCGACCACAAAAACGATATTCCCTTTGCTTTTTGTCTTAAAAACGAAGCCCAGCTTGCTTAAAACCCACCTGTGCCGACCCCTGGTACGTACATACTTTCTAACTACAATCAGCATAAACTTCAAATCTGACTACTTTTGAGCTCAAGAACTGTGGAGAATCGAAAATGAAAATTGAAAAATAGTAAACTGGTGATCCCAACGGGAGGCACCACTCGAGCAGTGGTGCCGACAAGAAAAGGCTGACTTGTTCTTATCGTCATAAAATTTTCCTTAGAATGAGATTTGAGCCACTTCAAAAGATCTCCAGAAATGCCAAATTTTTGGAGTTGTTTCAAAAGCTCAGAGGTTGAGCTTTTAACGTTGGAAAAAGTTGGAGAGAAGTGCTTGAGCTTGTAAACTAAAAATTTCTTGCTGAATGCTAGGCAAAAATTTGAGCATAGAAAAGGCTTCACATTTGGGAAGAGCCGATAAAGCGGTTGAGGGGAATTCCTAACAATATGGAAGAAGAGGAATGTGTGCTGTGATATTTTGTAAATCTGGTTCGGAAAATATCACAATTTTGAAATCTTAAGAAGCACCTATTTTGTGTAGAGATCTTAGAAAACATTCTAAATTCTTAAAATTTAAGCGCAGTATTGGTAAGACCTTTTAGACAAAAATGCAAATTTTGCATCATCAGAAGTTGCTTGATTGTTCTATCATATAATTCAATCACTGACAGAGTAAGGTTTAATTGCGCAGGCTAAAAATTCTTATTTCGCTACAGTTCTTTCATTAATACACATTGTGCGAACCTCGAAATAATTTTTTAGACTTGCAAGAGGTATATGATTTAATCGATTACCAGTTATTAGATGCTCCAAAGGATTTCTTAGAGTTTTTTAAATAAAAAGCTTTCGAATTCCCGGTTTCAAGAGCGGTATATCCTTTGGACGAGAAGGTGCAGCGGTTGTTTTTTCCATCTCACGGTAAGGTTGCGGTGTATGTCCTGTTGACACAACACAAGTTTATTTCTGTTTTATATTTTGATGAGTTCTTCCCATTCTTGATATTGCATCTCACTTTTTCATTGGACATTTTCAACGAGAAAGGTCAAAGAAACACCTGAGCAAACTGGATTTGAATGAAAAGCTCAGAAGACAGAGAAAAAAGAGATAAATAAAAAAGACGGAAAGGCACGTCGGGCTGGATTACTTTTTCTAGTTGAAAAACATCTGCGGGATTCCGAAGATTTCCGCTGGAGTGCCCTTTCTCATAGGAGCTATGACTGCAGCTGCAAGGAGCCATTCTCAATATGAAGGTGGACAAAATCTATCCACCATCTATACAACAGCAAGTAGTGAACTCAGAAAGGTCACAGTTGGAACAAGTACAATACCGCTCACATAATGTGCAAAATTTTCATGAATGTCGCGAAATTCCGGGAATTCCGCGAAATTCCCGGAATTTCGCGGAACTTCGCGACATTCCAGGAATTTCGCGGAATTTTCTGAATTTCGCGAAATTCACGGAAATTTTGCACATTTTGTGAGCGGTATTGTATCTGGTTGATAAACTGATAAAACGGTAATTTACTCGTTTGCTGCTAGCAGATAAACATTAGAAACGGCTTGTGAATTTTTTCATCCAAACCTTCATGCTGAAGTGATCTATAAGCTTTTCCACAATTATGACAATGCCATACAGTTATGACAGTGGAATGTGAAAATTCTCGGCGAATTCGGCGAAATCGGCGAAAAACGCAAAGTCGCCGACTTCGCCGACATCGCCGAGAATTTTCACATTCCAAAGTCATAACTGTTCGAATGCATGTATGGAGCAAATCTTATAATTTGCGCTTACACGGATCACTCGACGTGCTAACAGCATTTCTTACATTGTTTTGCTGCTGGTGGCACATTGTAGGATAGAATATCTGCCAAATTACACGAATTTCGAGTTCGAAAGACAATTCATGAGAAGGTGATTTTGTAACATCATAATCTGACGAACAATGCAGTTAAAGATCTGTGCTAAGCATGGCCCGGTAGAGGTGTTCACAAAGTTTTGAATTCACAAAAATTTGCAGACAATTTCCGCAATAGATAGGTAAAAAGTGCAGACGAATTTGCGATTTTGATTGGTTGAGCCACTTTTATCTCACTTTAGCTTTACAGTAAGACTCTATGGTGCAAAATAAATAAGATTTTCGTAAAGATTGGGACCAAAAACCACTATGAGCGAAGTTTCCGGTCAATCTGAGAACCTCAATATTTTGACCAAATTTTGCGCCGAGGCCAAGAGTGAGGAGCGAGAAAAAATCAAGTGCTATTAGTTCCTTAAAAAATTGAACCATAGATGTTGTCCGATCCTTTGATTGCAAGAAACACATTTGATTAGCGAGATAGCTTGTTTCTGTAGGACTACGGTGGATAGATTTTGGAGAATTATGGATTTTTTTGAAATTTGCTAGCTCCGCCCACTTTTGGCCCCGCCCATACCCAAGTCTCCGCCCACTTCTCCCCCACCTTCCCATTCCAACCCATCCATGCTTGGGCCACTAACCCACCACTAACCACCAATGAACCACTACTGACCGATTTATATATAGAGATCAAAGATCAAATTAATTTATATATAGAGATCAAAGATCAAATTAAGAAAAACTATCTCCAGATGCTATAGGGTAGCGCCCCTTCACATTCATGCTGCTGCGCAACTTTCTTCACCAATTGATAGCGCATCAAAAGTTGTACCGTGTCATGAGATCATTTCATCAGATTGCATAACATTGGGTAATATTGAGTCACATCACTTGTTATGCAATGTACTGAGTCACCACCTCACATCACTTGTTATGCAATATCTTACCCCGCCCTAACCGCTGTTATTGTTGTAAGACGGACCAGCATATAAGAAGAGGACTGGAGACCTTCAGGGACTCACGGACACTCACACTCACCCCTTCCCCTCCCCCTACCTCTTTTGTCTTTTTATATCTTTAGTAATAAACATATAGCTATAGGTGGTGCCGAAACTGCGCGTTCAGTATGCGAAAATTGAGAATGTCTCTGTTGCTTAGGTTGGTTTTGGGAATTGCGTGAATGTGAACGGGTTCTACGGTCTGATCTATTCATGCAATAGATGCAGTTTGAGAGCTAATTTTTTTCTGCTAATTTTTTTTTTATATATATGCAAGCTGATTTGATTTAAATGGATAATTATTAATTAATTTTTTTTTTCAAAGTAAATTGTACCTGTTTTTGAAGAGTTGATTGGGCTGTTGTTCGTTGCAGTTGTACGGTAGATTCCTTGACTAGTCTCCTTGGATGAGCGGTGAATCGGCGCGATGTGATCGAGCAAGAGAGCGGCAAGGGAGGGAGAGTGTGAAAAAAGATGGAAGCTTCAAAATGAGGCGAGGATTGGTTGTGATTTGACTGGAGTTGCTCGGGCTTATATAGTAGGTAAAAAGTTGTAATATCTGTGGGTTGGGGTGTAGTTTTACAATGTATTCCTAGAAAATGGTATGTAAACAATATTTGTTTTGTAAACAATATTATGTGTTCCCAGAAAATGGCATGTAAACAATTTTTGTTTTCCGTAACAATTTTTGTAAATAGCTGGTTGCTAAAGTTATATAACGTTGCGTCATGGTATCAAGATCCGATCGGAGGTGTAATTAGTCAAGCATGCCGGTGCAATCAGTCAAACATGCTTTTCCTCTCCAGTAAATCGGAGGTGCAATTTGTTAAGTTGGAGGCGCAATTTGTTAAGTTGGAGGCGCAATTTGTCAAACTGTTTTCCCTATAAATAGGCGTGGAACGGCGGAAGTGGCGATCTTATCTCGATTTGTTTATTTTATCTTGTTTTGATTCCCTTTTTTTTTTGTTGAAAAAAAATGCGAGGTCGTTTTGCGGATAAAACAAAATTTTTTTTTTTAAGATATACAATGCCGTTTGGAAAAATTTGTATATCGCCTGTACCTCGTGTGCCCAGAAGAAGTGGTACTCCCATAGATTCAAGGGGGAACACTCCTGACTCTTGGGAAGCGGCTTGTGCTTCTCCCAGTGATTTCAAGAGTCGTTACCACCCTCCGAAGAATCCAGGAAAATCACAAACAACTTGCCGCACTTTTACTACATAGCAAAAATCCACCATTGACTAAATATCCCGCAAATGACTCAGCAGCTGTAGCTCAACACATAGCTGTACATATCGAACCAGATCTTAGGAACATTAACAATGACGTCATGCTAACGCATGAACAAAGACAAGATCAACGACATTTTGAACTTAACACAAAAATGCAATTTTTGAAAATAAAATTAGAAGAAGTAATGCGCCACGATTTTAACTACCTTTTCGACCGTATCTGTAGTCTAACTAACTTTAGAAATCAAGCCATAAAAAGTATTGCCCAAATTAACCCTACAAGTGCAGCCCGAATTTTATTAAACCGTAATGATATTTTTGCTCTAGCAGCAGGAGATGTGCTAATGGTTTCAAAGTGTAAAGAAGTACACATAGATGAAATTTATTTGGACCATAATGTTAATGGAATTTGCTATATATTTACCCCAGTACGCATAGGAAAAGACATTCATTTTGTAATACCCGGCACAAAAGATTTAACAACTAACAGCGCTGAAGCCAATTGTGGTCATCTTCCTTTCGGAATATATAATGATGGTACTAATCATTACAAATCTTCTAAAGGCCTCATAGACGTAGCACAAATTCACACTAATCTACCATACTCATTAGTCACCCAAGATTTCATCTTCAATGCA